GTAAGAAGATACAATCAAACAGACTAAGCATGCCATTGATACATTGTATCTAATAATTTTTAAAAGCAACTTCCTAAATGCCTTCCATTTTTATTGCAGTATTGGTGTTACTCATGCATCTTTAACAGTTGGGAGCCCACCCTCATGATGACCTGACACCCCATACAGAGCTATGCCAGGGTTTAGAAACCCGGCAACTGCTAGACAACCAGCTGCAAGCCCAAGCTTCCAGAGAGGGGGCACCAACATCTGCCTCCTTCATCTATGCCTTACTTAAAATGACAGAGGGATAAAGACAGATCATTCATTCAAAAAACATATCCTTTTATTAAAATAAAGATGATCCACAACCCCCCCCCCCCAAAAAAAAAGGTCAGGCAGTGGTGGCGCACACCTCTAATCCCAACACTTGGGAGTCAGAGGCAGTCAGACCTGTGAGTTTGAGGCTAGCCTGGTCTACAGAGGGAGTTCCAGGACAGCCAAGGCTACACAGAGAAACTCTGTCTTGAAAAACCCAAATAAATAAATAAATAAATATGATTCTACACAGTGTTTTAACCAAAATACTATTTCCATAGTTCTTTAATTTTGTTAAATACTGAGACTCAACTGCAATTTCGCTTATATTGTAAGGAAAGGGCAAAACAACAATAACAACAACAACAAAAAACCCTTTTGTTCTCTTCTTGAAAACAATTCCCATCAAACCGGGATGTATCTTATTTATTTATAATGAAACCATACATGCAAAAAAGTGGGAAATGACTGTGGGACCAGCTCACTAAAAGATATTTATTAAAACAACAAAATTTATACACAAATTATTCTGCTGATTATTTGCTCTTTTAGTTTTTGTTTTTGTGAGGCAGGGTCTCACAATACACCATAGGATAGCCTTCACTGCATCCTCCTGCCTCCATCTCCTCGAGTGCTGAGGTTACAGATGTGCCAATGTAGCCACTCTGGTTATTTGTTTTATATTCACTTAACCATTTCAAAAAAGTATTTACAAGGCCTGTAATTAGCAAATGAAACCTGTTATAAATTAATTATGTTTCCTTTGTTTGATATGCATATCTCTTTTCAGGAATTTGGGGGGGGGGTGTTGTTTTGTTTTTTTGAGACAGCGTCTCTCCATTATGTAACTCTGGCTGTCTGTCCTGGACCCACTATGAAGACCAGGCTGGCCATGAGTTCACAGAGATCTACCTGCCTTGTGTACAACCACACCCAGCCTCAGAATCTGTTCTTATTAGTGAAAAAGAGTAAAGTTGAGGCAGAAGATAGGGCTCAGCAGGTAAAGGTGCTTGCCACCAGGCCTGATAACTTGAGCTCAATCCCAGCCCCCACATGGTGGAAAGAACCAAATTAACTCGCAGGCTGTCATCTCACCCCCATATACCCATGCCCCCCCCACACACACAATTTTTTAAAAATTAAAGGTAATGTCCTGGAGTATCAAAAAATAATTACAAAGCCTTTTACAGCACTTCAAGGAAGCTAATTTTTATACTATGCTCAAAACTGTAAAATTATAGCTAGGTGTGGTTGGTACACACCTTTAATCCCATCCATCACTCTGGCAGAGGCAGGTGGATCTCTGGGTTCAAGGTCAGGCTAGTCTACATAATGAGTATGGGGACAGCTTGAGCTACCTAGTGAGACCCTATCTCAAAAATAAAAACAAGCAAAAAAGTAAGATTATTTTGAGAAAATCTGTTTATAAAGCATTAGTCACAAAAGTAAACAAATAATGAAATATAAAAATTCCAGTCTAGGAATAAACACACTCTGGTTGGTTATTTGAAACACTGGATACATCAATAATGTTAATGTTCAGGGAGTGTGACACTGACCTTGTACATACACTGGAGGGGCCAGTATTTCAGAATGTTTGGAAAAAGTCTTTGCTCCAAGTTGAATTGGAAATTTAATATTTTAACTAGCAAACTAAAGACTCCAAAACAAAGATCCTAAAATTCATCTCTAAATAAGAAATGTATTTATAATAGTCAAAGTTTGCAAAAGAATGAAATGGCTGTCTCATCAGCTAATGAAACTTCATTAATTAAAATAGAATAGATCTTGTATGGAAAAACAATGGGACCATGAACCAGCACTAGGAGCCCTGAAATACACCAAAGTGCAAAGAATTTAGTTTATGAAAAAGGCTATTATTTTTCTAAACAAAAGAATAATCAAATCACTTGATAAATGACCTGGGAACAAGTTGGTAAATATTTAAGTGGAACTAAAATTAGAGTTCTAGATCTCGTTGTATAACAAAGAAAACTCCTGAGAGAACCAAAGTGTAATAGGTGAAAAATTAAAAGAAAATTCACCACATTAGAAGGAAGCAGACTAACATATATAACTAGCATATATAATAATTGAGAATGAAGACAATAAAAGGAAACATAAAACAGAAGACCTGTCCACTAAACACCCCAGTCTCAAGAGGAGAGACAATAAAATAGAATGTGTTAAAATTACAGCATGTGACACATTGATACAGGAGTTACCTTCACATGGAATAGATGAACTTGGCAACAGACTGCAGTACAGGCAAAAGATTATGCCACATAATGTATGACTAAATGAAACTGGCATATAAATATCTGAAAAGCTACTCAGTGGAACCAATAATTAAATGGATGAAAATCAAAACAAAAGAAATGGTGAAGAATAAGGGATGCAGAGCAGGGGAACAATCCTCATCCAATATGGCCCAAACTAGGTAGTTATAACATTTTTATAAGGCAGCATTGTGGTGATATATTGTGTACTCTAATAAAGCTTGCCTGAGGATCATACGACAGAGCCAGCCACTAGATTAGACATAGAGGCAGGCAGTGGTGGCACACACCTTTAATCCCAGCACTTGAGATCTCATGCCTTTGCTTGGGAAGCACACAAACATGCCTTTAATCCCAGGAAGTAATGTGGCAGGGTAGAGAAAGGTATATAAGGTGTGAGGAAACAGGAACTCATTCTTTGTAGGCTGAGGATTTTGTAGAGGTAAGAACTAGTGGCTGGCTGCTCTGCTTCTCTGATCCTCAGGAAAGTTTATTAGTGTACACAATAGGTCACCACACAACATTGTATCAAAGATTAAAAGATGTACCATTTTTGGTCCAATACTTCCTCCCTCTGAAATGCAAACTAAGGAGATGTATGTAAAAGAATTCACCATGGGAACTGGTAATTTATCTGAGGGATAAAGCACTTGCCCAACATGCAGAAGGCCCTAGGTTTGGTTCCCAGCACAGTAAAAAGTTAAGAAATACAAATAAAATCATTACAATGCTGCTGAATAAACTGGAATTAACAGAACTGCCTATCAATAACAACAAATACATATTAATAGCCAGGAAGCTAAAATGCCATGCATCTACCTGAAATGGTGGAGAGAGCTCACACATTTGTGGATGTGGGAAAAACAATGGTCAGGTCACTTGGCAGGCAGCCCCCTGTGAGCATCAGCCTGAGGTAGTGGGTTACTTCTGGCACCTAGAACAGTACCCTGTACTGCTTTTCAGGTGAGATTTTAAAGCAGACTATAGAACAACAAGCATGACATGGTCTCCTCTCTCCTCCTCTGGCCTGCCCTCTTCATATAAAAAAATAATAATAATAATTGGGAAGGTAGGCACAAAAGGTTAACAGGGTAATATTTTGATTATGTGTTATAACTATCTTCTTTATTCCTTTCTGTACTGTCTAAATTCCTTATATAGTAGCTACTGCTTTTTTTTTTTTTTTTTAAAAAAGAGTCCATGTAGTTACAGTTAATACAGCTTAAAAATTCCAAAGTCAGCAATGTCAGACCGACCGGGTATGTTTTCTTTCACTTTTAAAAAAAAACTGTCAGCTTATCTCATACAAGTGTCATCTTTCTCAGTATCAGGAAATGGCGCACCAAATGGAGAAAAGCATATCTTTTCTATAGGGGGAAAAAGCATCTACAAGTAATTGCCTAACATCCTATTCTATCCTATTCCTATTTGGTGTTAAAGATCATTTACCCCCAGGCTAAAAGGCCAAAAGAGTTCATCTTTACACATTCATTTCGTTTATTTACATAGACTTCATTTTAAAAACATTTCATTGAAGGATCAAAACTAGCCACCTAGATCACGTCTCTCTCCACCCCTTCGCCCTGTTCTGTTTTATTCCTCAGCTTTATGGGCAATAACCTTATTTGGATTTTTATCGTGTTTCATCCTTCTAGAATGTAAGCTTCCCGAGGGCAGGAGTTTTGTCCTGCTCTCATCTGTATCCCCAGCCCAATACTAGGTGGTACCTAGTAGGCCTCGGGAGGTACCTGTCAAATGAAAATCTCTATGTGGAGGGCAGGAAAGATACAAAACTCCAAACAAGCCAATAAATGAAGAATTGGGGTGGGGGGTTGGGGGGGGGGGAGAAGGAAGGAAAAAAGGAAGGAAGAAAATCATACTGAAATGCCACCCTGACAGGACTGAAAGCTGGCACACAGGCTTGGAGACCGACGTTTTTCAAGGCGGGCAGGTGCTCCACACCTATCTAAGCACACAGCTCTTCCAGGAAGGAGAAAACCCACAGGGAAGTCTCCGGGTGGTGGTAAGCAGCTCCCGGAAGAGTGTCAAGGACCATTACCATAACAGAGACGTGGCCCGCGCAGAGGGAGGGGGAACCCCACAATACACCATACATCTTGGCCCAGATGGAAAAAAAAAAAAAAATCACACGAATCCCCTACACAATCAAGCCAAGCAGGCGACCCTCCACCAGACACAGAAGCAGGCTCCTTCCCCAGGGCTCTGCAGTCGCCTGCAACCCAGGAGCCGGGTCGCGACTCCAGCGCTATTCGCTCTCCAGGACCCCGCGCCGCACCGCCCCAAGGAGACCAAGGGGGGGACCGTTTGAGGATCCGCTTTCTCTACCCCCGGAGCCCGCTACCCTCCCCGGCGCACACGCCTGCCTGCCCAGCTGGTCCCCAAGGCCCCGACCCTCCAACTCACGTGTAGATGATGGACATGAAATGCATCAGCCACAGCACCACGAAGAGCACGAAGCCGAACAAGGCCATTCCCTCCTGGGCCAGGTCCAGCAGCGCCATCCCCCGGCCCGCTGGCCCGGCCCGGCCCGCTCCGGCCG